TTTGCCTTGTTTGCCGCATGACTCATGGGATGGCAGGATTTCAACGACTATGACGTCATGGATGCCAACGTGACTTTGAAATGCTCCCCCGCTAAATCTTTCTCCATTTTCGTGAGCGTGTAACTCAGAAACTAGAGGGGCTTAGGTCTTAAGAAGGGCAGGATTGTGAACAGTGCCGAAAGGACTTCAAGATAGATGGCTATTTCAGTAAAAAAACCATATAAATATGGAACACCCCCTTTGCAAGTATATCAGTAGTTAAGAGTAAACTTATTTGACCATATATGGTGCTTACTTCAATCTTTTAAAATGTGGACCATTCCCTTTAATTGTTTTGAGGTATCAGCAGAGTGTGTTCTAAAAAAGCATGCCCCAGTCGTGGGTTACTCTTCAGTGTCGCTGCACTGAACATCACAGCGCTCTCTTTTCTTGTTTATGAGTCGACTTTTAAGTATTCAACATCATAAATGCACGGGATTGGGTAACAGTAACAAACTTTCATTGCATTCGAGTCCAATAGTAATTTTTCGTGACTTGGCAACTGACGTAGTAACTTAACCCGCGCTCGGACGGGAGAGGTGAATTCCCCCTACCGTTGTTTTGTGAGCACAGGTCAAAAACGAACGCTCGCGGCAACACGAATTTTTAGTACCTGCTCATCTATCAAGTTGGCATCCTTCCCTTTTTCTGCCAAAAGCATTGGCTAAGATCAAGTCAAAGAGCCTCTAACCTCTAAACAAACCTCTAAACCTCAGCATCTAAAAAATTGACCATCCATAACATGTTTGCTGGTTATTTAGGGTAGGCATCAATCATAGTCGTCATAGTAATGGAACACGATAATGCTTACAAGTTGAATTTTTCAGATTTTTCAGAAAAGGGAGGGCAGTGAGCAGAGGCGAGTTATCAGATATGATATGTATGTGCTATCAGATACGTGCTATCTTTCGTGAATATTGCAACTTTGCACGCATTTTGTGCAGATTCGGTGTTTGTATGTGAGCAAAAAGGCACTAACCTACGCACACCACCATTGTATGATCACAGATCACATGACCTTGGCCCAGGTCATGATCTACCTGTATAGGTACCTTTAGCAAGATACATGCTAAGCTCAAAATAGGCAGTTTTAAAGGTATTTTTAGACGTAGAATGTAAATACTTTAGTGAAAACATGCGATACCATTGTGATGCATAATGCGGTCACCATAAGTCACGTGAGGACATTCAGGACCATATCAGGTCATCCAAGGTCAACGATCTATGTTGCCAATAGCGGCCCAGAGAGGCTAGATGAACGTGTGCAACGCGTGTAACCGTCTCCTCATTGTGTTTGTACAGCTGATGATGCATATATCATATACCAGCGTACCTGTTTTCAGACTGTTACAAATACATTGGCAACCGTCCAAGGGACTTTGTATGATGTAGACATCAGCCATGCGAACTTGAGTGCCTGTAGATGTACAATACACTTTTGTGTTATTTCCATTTTTATTATTTGTTAATATGGTAGATGTACAATACTCAATTTCCGACCACAGCAAATCATTGTACTGGTCACACAGACTGGGTTATCACCTCAATTTCCTAATTTGGATGGCTCACAACTTTGATCTAAGCTGACCTTAGATGCCCTCCAGGTCAGCTGGTGTGTTTAGTCTGGAATGTCTTTTCTCTCACAGCCTCACTCAATACAATTGACTCAGTCAGAAGCACACTGTGAAAAGCATCGTTCTTGTAGGCTACTGGTAGACCGACTTTGAACGGTGGCCTGAACTTACCGGGTCCATCTGTGGTCATGGAAATGATCAGAACAATCTCCCACAGTCTTAAAACTTATTTTCGTGTTCTCGATATTCGTCTTGATATGTTAACACAGGTTTTAACAGCATCTATTGAAACAATTGTGTTTGGCCTTCCGTGACCTCTCGTGACCTCGTATTTCACCTAAGATCTACGGTGTCTGGAAGTTGGGGATCCCAGTGGGAAAGTCAGTTTCCTCCGGTTGTATCAGACCCCTGGCCAGGCGCGGGTTAAGTAACAGGTTTAATATTGCTATTGTAAGCATGTGTGCACTTAAATTTCGAAAACGTTTGCGTACCAAGGTGGCTTCTGATCTTACGTGAGCTAACGTACTTAAGCTTGAAACATTTATGACATCAAGCAGTATTCAGGATTGTCCCAAACAGCCATATTCTTCTTGAACTCGCTCTCAACAACCCTGGCCCTGGCCCATCTCCCAGTTCAAACCCTGGCTGCATAGCTGCCACCTCCCGCCCGCGGGCCTCCATTCACTGACCTTTGTCAGAGCAGGCAAGCCGGGCTGACCCGCGGCCCGAACGGCACATCGGCCTGCAGCTTGAGCAGCGCAATGTCGTTATCGATGGTTGCGAAGTTGAAGCGCGGGTGGCGGTAGATGGCCGTGACGTTGGCCACCCAGAAGCCGTCGCCGGTCGCGTCCGACACGTTGTGGGCGCCGAGCAGAAGGCGGATCTCGTGGGACGCATTTCACGCGGCCGCCGCATGCCCTGCAAGAACCTGCCGACAGGGGACGCCGTTCCCTGTCGCTGGCTGACGTCTGCCGCGGCGCCGGCCGGCTGGACGGCGGTGCCTATGCCACACGTGCGAGCTGATGAAGGATCTTCGTGGGTCCCACGGTATTGCCTCAACAGAGTGGGTCTAGCCTACTGCCTGGCACGAGACTGGCCTAGCCAAACCCCTCGCCACGTTACGTCACACACGACGGCATATCATTTGTGCGGAGCAATTGTCTTAACGCCTACATTGAGATCATCACGACAATGGACGAAGCATTGCACACCTTAAACATCGGTTGCTTAGTTAGAACAGTCAAGAGCGTTTTCATCGTCCTGCCCGACGAGAGGCGCGCGGCGGACGTCAGCGGCGCCGTCGTGTCTCACTGACATGTTGGTGCAGTGCGCGGCTGTGACCACCAGCCGGCTGCTGATGAGCGTGCCGCCACAGTAGAGCGTGTGCCGTCGGCCGCTGCGCGTCACCAGGCCGGCCTGCCAGGGCCAGGCGCCGCGTGCCGCCTCCCGGCCGCCGACCACGCGTCGCGACACGCCGGCCGGCAGACCGCACACTGCGACAGCGCCGTCCCCGGTCAGCGCCGCGTCGCCGCACCCGGACACGGTGCGCCCCGCTGCCAGCCACCGCTGCTGACTGACCGCGCGTGGTGGGGTGCAGGCGCCGACAATGTGTTACCTCCTCGATCAGGCGGGCGGTGCACTGCCTGAGCCTTGCTGGAGGACAATGCAGCAGCGAGGAGTCATCGCCGCCTGAACCTCACAGAGGCCAGCGAGCAGCGGGGAAGCCATCGCTGGTTAAACCTCACCAGAGGGCAGCGCAGCAGCGGGGAACCATCGCTGGTTAAACCTCACCAGAGGGCAGCGCAGCAGCGGGGAAGCATCGTGTAAACCTCACCAGAGGGCAGCGCAGCAGCGGGGAAACCATCGCTGGTCAAACCTTACTAGAAGGCAGTGCAGCAGCGGGGAAACCATCGCTATTCAAACCTCACTAGAGGGCAGTACAGCAGCGGGGAAACCAACGCTGCTTAAACCTTACTAGAGGGCAGTGCAGCAGCGGGGGAAACCGTCGCTGCTTAAACCTCACTAGAAGGCAGTGCAGCAGCGGGGAGCCATCTCCGTTCAAACCTCACTAGAGCGCAGTGCAACAGCGGCGCGTGGGGGGGGGGGGGCAGACATTGCTCAAACACATGCCATCATTAAAGCATTACCATTAAGATGTGTGCCACAGTCCGAGTCCGAAACACAATGCCCCGTTTTTGGACCACAAGTGCGTCAAGCGCAGATCCCTGATGCATGTTTCTGCCGACGGGCGCCGCACGCAGCTGCCGTCCACATGCTCCAGTCCCGCGCGAATGAGCAGCGCCCCAGCAGACAGTCAGCGCGTTGTCGGAAGCAGAGGAGGAATGTCCGCCGGATCGTGAGGCCTC